TCCCTGCGCCGATCCGACTCGTCGCTGTATCGCAGCCCCTCGCCGAAATTCTCTTCCCGATCGTAGTCGTAGTAGGGCCGGGGTCGTCGGTGGGATTGACCGCCGCGGCCCGCGTAACGGCTATCATCGTATCGGGACCCGACGCGGCGGGAGGGTTCGTATCGGGATCGTCGGTCGTCATAGTCATAGTCACGATCATAGTCATCGTCCCGGCGACGCTTGTAGCCTCTGGGGTCGCGGTACGGGGAGCGGGACCGGGTGCGGGAGGGCGATCTGGTCCTGGTCCTCGACCTCCGGTGGCGGGGCGATCTGCTCAACGATGCTGGAGATCTGGGGGCGGGTGAACTAGCTCTGGGGGGACGGTCAACGCGGTTGCCATTAAGAGGAAGTTGCGACGTAGTTGCCTTCGTCTCTGAACCTGATTCGATGATCTCACCCTCAGAAGGGGTCGATGGAGACCTCGACCTGCGTGATGCCATTTTGCGTCCGTCTGCCGAGAGATATATCTTCTTCTCTCAACGGAGTGTGCCTAGATAGACAGATCGGCCTTTTCGCGCAGCTTCAGAGAAGGGAGAAGAAGAACTTCCGGTTAGCCAAGAATGGTTTGGATGACGCGTCAAGGTAGGAGGATATATTGAGAAAGTCCAACCGGCTGAAGATGCCACGGCCCTTGCCAACTTTGAGCAAGCCTGAGACAAGTGTGGAGGGTTTTTTTTGCCTTTTGTTTTAGGAAAATATGTAAAAGATACCAGTAAGAATGTTTGCTACTGTCTCCAGTTCAAGATATTCACGCGAGGATGGCTGGATTGTCGAAGAGGTAGCTGGGGCGATGAGATCGCACGCGGTAGTAACAGGAACGAGGCAAATGGGGGGGGGGGGGGGGGGATAAAGCAGGTTGTTGAGATGGGGATGAGCTGGTGCCAGGCGGTGACCGATGGAGAGGGAGAGATTTCGGCGCCTAACCCGGTTCTAGACTAGCGGCTCCCCGCGGGACAATCGCTGATAAGACACGATTTTTTGCGCCTCCATTTCCCCTCCTTCTCCTCTTTGCGCGACTACGCATCCTTGCCTTCATCTAACCCTCCCTTCACAAAACCTTTTCAAAACCAATATCGCACAATGGGTGGTCAAAGCAGAGAAGGTATGCGCTTATCAAGGTGTCTTGAGCATTGCCTATCCGCCCTCTAACTCGACTTTTTCTTTTGTCTAGGTGGCAAGGTCAAGCCCCTCAAGCAGGCCAAGAAGGCTCAGAAGGATCTCGATGACGATGATCTCGCCTTCAAGGAGAAGCAGAGAGCCGGTATGTTTACCTATTGCTGCCTTTCCACACCAGCGGTGACTTGATCATGGTCGCGAGCATCTCACTAACTGCATTGTCTCTATTCAGATGCCAAGGCTAAGAAGGATCTGATGGAGAAGGCCAAGGGCAAGGGTCCCCTGAACACCGGTGCCCAGGGCATTAAGAAGTCGGGCAAGAAGTAAATCACCTTTGGGAGCATTGAGATCAGTCATTCATGATATACCACGAGCCATGACCCACGAGCGCAAGGTGGTGGAGTCGCTTGGCATTGAGCGCTATTCTCTTTGAGCAACTTTACTTGATGCATTTACAACACTGAGCGCACACTTCATCCACTGATAATCTATTCAATAAATACCTCAAAAGCGTGACTCAGTTCCTCAAACGCTGGGAACCATCTGCACGGAACCTGGTCCCAGACTTGAGATTCGCGTCTCTCAACAAGCAAACAGGGTATCATCGCGCACTGCACAGATCAAAGAAAGACTGTCTACCATGCTTTGCTAGAACAAAAGAAGTAGAAGTGAAACCCGCTGTATGCTGCCGAATGGTAAACGCAACGCTGAAAGGCATAATGCAACCAACAAACCTCGCCCAACCCACATGATCGTAAAGAAAGTTTATTAAAAAAAAAAGGGGCAGAAACACCAATGCCCAACGCGCTCTCATGAGCGGATTGGGATGCAATGAAAACGAATGTTTTGATCGACCTTCAGCTGGTCACTCGGCTGACCCAAAGGCCAGAGCCGCCCCCATAGCAATCGAGCTCATCGCGTTTCTTCCAAGCCTTCAGTAGCTTCACGCCAATCTCATGCTCCTCTCGCTTGATTTCTGCAAGTTCACTTTCGAGACTGGCGACCGTTTTCTTCACCTCATCTCTAGCGGCTATGTCATAGGCGACGGAACTCGGCTGGATGACTTGAGTCAACTCGTAGATGATCGTGTTGATATTGGCCTTGCGACGCGCAAGGGTCTCTTTGCGGGATTCAAGCGCATCAATCCGGTTTTGATTCTGTTGCTGGGGAGTGATAGCTGTGGGTTCTTTGACCGCCTCCGCCTCCACAGCGGCCTGGGATGGCGTGGGCTTTCTGGTCGGCTTCTTCCCGGGAGCCACTGTGCTCGGCACGGGTCGGCTACGAGACATGATGGAGGGCTGACACTCCGTGGACACAGATGCAGTGTCAGCGATAGTATCGATGCTATTGCGCCTGCTGCCTATTGAGCTGCCTATTTCGGTAGGGTCGTAAGTGGTTGCGCTGAAGCGGCTTGTGGGTTCTTCAGCCATTTCGTGAGTAGTCAACTTAAGATCCATTAACGAGGATTCCCAGTCTGTTTCCGGCGCTGGAAGCTCGACCCGAGGTGGAACGCGGTTGCTGCTGCGGACGGTCGGGGTGGATGCCTCGGGTGTCCTAGCACGGGGATTGTTCCGGGTAGTGCCATGGTGTCTGTCTGTGGGCCCAAGTTTACCGGCTGTGATTGTTGTCACTACGGTAGGGACCATTCCACACGCCGCGAGGTCAGAGGCTGCTGAGCCGTTGCGTGCTCTCATTTGATCATAGCTGCGGATCGTGTTCGCTCTGGGTCGTTCTTGGATAGGCTGCACTATTGGTGATCGTCCACTGGGTCCCTTCCATGGCTCGCGAATGCGTGGCTCTGAGGGAGGTTTGCGGGCACTTTGCGTGTTCCATCCAAGACTATTCGACCCATGAGATGACGGAGGTGTGGCTGACATGTCGGTGCGGACCGAAGCATTGCCGGAGGCTTGCTGCCCAAACATGCCAGAATGGCTTGACGTCGAGCCCCTCGAAAAGTTGTCCTGCCTACTTGCGTATCCTCTCGAGGACGGGTTTGCTGGCTGAGACTGATCCACGGGGGAGTAACCGGTCTTGCGCACCGGCAGCTGACTGGTGAACCTGGTGTTTTCCTTCTTCTCCATTGGGTCGATATCAAGGTCCGGCCTGGATTCGTCCTCTATGGGGGAGACGCGGGAGCTGCCGCGACTAAGTGGTGGCCGACTTAAGGAGACGGGTGAGTCGGGAGGGGAGATCTCAACACTTCCAGGCCGACTGAGATCGTGACCGAGGATACCTGTCTGCAGGGGAAGATCTGTCAAACTGACCGAGCGGTGGTCAAAGAGATCATCGGATGCGATGCTCGGAGCGATGCTTGGGGCCTTGGATGATGATGCGACCCTGCGACCTGAGTACGGGTGATGCGCGGGATTGAGTGAGTCCGCTTGGTTGCTAGAACGAGTTAGCAGGTCAAGTATACTTTGCAGGAAGATGCAATCACAACTCGACTACTTCAACTTACCCTCGAGAAGTCAGGGAACGGTTGTCGGTGCTCTGAGTGCCTGGGCCGCGAGACCAGGACTGATAGACACTATCGTCTAGAGTTTTGTCGATCAAGGTGGGATTTCCAATAACCGGCTTTCGCGATCGATGAAAGTGCATTTTCCCCCACATCTTGACGATAGACCCTCTGGGCGGATGCTATAGCTCGTGAATCAGCTAGTTTGATGGTCAAGTGTCAATGTTGCGAGACTAAAAGCTTGGGCGTGATGTTCGATAAGACCACTTTGCGCCAATGTCGGGTTGGAGCTGATTTCAACAGGGAGGAGTATGAAGATCGAGAAAGGGAGATAAGTCAAGAAGAGTAGGACAGTTTAGTCAGATGGAATAAGCAATGTGACCAAGATTCAGGTAGCTAAGTTCAGGCTTATTATGCGAAGGGACAGACGTGCCGGCACGTCATTCAAGAAAGGATCAGTCCACCACAATTGGAGGAGAAGACAAAGGAAGATAAAGAGAGATTGATAGATAGATGATCCAATCTCGACAAATATGCGGCGGGCGACCAGGCACTAGAATCAATCAAAGAAATTACAAGAAAGAGGGACTGAAATGAATGAGAAGCGGGTGAAAGATCGAAAGGGAAGAGAAGAGAAGGACGAACGGCCGGAGCAACACACAGACAGACCAAAACCGCGTCTTCTGGAGCCGCGGAGGTAGTGCACTGACTGGGTGCGCCCCTCTCGAATTGCGATGCCAACCAGGCCGGGCTTGTCTGGAAAGTCGACCGTTAGAGAGCCCAGACGGAGCTAGTCTAAGAATAAATGACGAGCTAGTGGACTGACAGCAGCGAAGGAAATTGGCAAAGCGGGCGAGGGTGACTGTTTCAGAATGAATTGGTTTAATTATAGGAGCTCCGAAAGCCTGGGGGGATCGAGACTCGAGCGCATTCCGAACTCCGTTGCAATCTCGGGAATGCGGATTGCTGCAATAATTGAAGCCTCTGCAGAAAGGTGCAGAATGATCAGCCACGGTCTCGTGCAGCACGATAACCAGGGTTCATTTACAGAGCCATCAGCGTGACAGTAGGGAATAATCGAACCCAGGAAGTACTGTAGACGATCATGAATCTTTTGTAAGGTTGCTGCACGATCGAGCCTGAATCAGCCCAAGTAGCGCGATCCAACGGAACCGAATCGCGCTTCCGCGCTTACCGCCTTGACCTCCACAAATAGCCGTTCGTTTTTCTGGCTCCGTTCTCCGCACACTAAGCTGTGGTGTTGATTGGCTCCAAGGTCCCTTCTGCCCTCAATTGCCGTCATACACCGCGGCGGCCGGGGCGACTCCCACTCATCCACCACTCGCATCATCCATCATCATCAATTCATCTCAGCTCAGCAATCACATTCATCCTCCAAACAACCACAACCTCATCCGTGTGTCCATCAACCAGTACAAGAGCCACATCCCAAAATGTCCAGCCCGGGTAATGCTTCCTTAAAAACATCCCCCCCCCCTCCTCCCCAAACATCACTAACACGAACCACCAACAGACGGAGCAACAACAACCCCACCGGCCGAAGTGTCAGTAAACCTCAACATCTCCAAGCTGACAGCCACTGCACCCATCCCCCACAACACCCACTAATCCATAAAAACAGAATGACAATCGCCTCCCCCATCAACCTCATCCTCCTCACCCTCTTCATCATCCTGGTCTACGTGCAACTCCGTCCCAAGGCCCCCGTCGCCCTCCCCAAAGCGCCCCCACCCGTCGTCTTCCGCACCTTCACCCCGACCACGCTCCTGCCATACAACGGCACCGCCGATCAACCCGTCTACCTCGCCGTGCGCGGCCGCGTCTTCGACGTCACCCCCGGCCGCAACTTCTATGGACCGGTAAGCTTCTCCAATTCTGATCGGTCGCGCTTCACTCTTCACCCCCCCGTATGACAAGGCTAACCCGTGAGATGGCAAAACAGGGCGGACCCTACGAGAACTTCGCCGGTCGGGACGCGTCGCGCGGGTTGGCGTGCCAGAGTTTCGACGAGGAGATGTTGACCAAGGATCTGAAGGGTCCGTTGGATACGTTGGAGGACCTGGATGCGGACCAGTTGGAGAATCTGCAGTCGTGGGAGGAGCGGTTCTCGGAGAAGTACTTGGTTGTCGGGAAGTTGGTGGCTGAGGGGGAGGAGGGTGTTTAAGTTGAGTGAGACTTTGAGGAGTTTTGGGGGGTGAATGAAGTAAGGATGGGATGGGTGAGGGGGATGAAGATCATAGATAGGGCGGTGGTGATGAACAGAAGGCTGCCAAACCAGAATGTAGGGCTGGCTTGTTTAAGGTTGGAATGAAAGGATGGCGTGGATTCGGGGTGTTGGAAAGGTACTGACAGACAAGTTGTAGGTTGGATGAATTATGATATTATGGTTGTTCAATTTGTCGTCATTCTGGTAAACCTCAAAAACGACACTACCATATCAGCACAGAAGCAGAAGTGTTATGAAGAGGAAATAAAGTAAATTTCGAGACTAATTTGCCAACCAATAACTATTACGTCAAGTCATAAAATCATGTCCCACCAGCACCACCATACCCGGTTCTTTCTTTGTAATCCACCCTCACATTGCAGAAAATCACACTTTACAACTCCTTGCGCAGGCTCGCGGAAGCCTCGGCTCCCTTGGTCTTCACCTTGTCCGCGGCCTTGAAGCCCTGCGTCTTAGCTTGTTCCTTCGCGACCTCAGAAGCCTTCTCAGCGGCCTCCTGACCGTGGGCCCTGCCGCTTGCGGCTCCAACCTTGACCTGCTCCCAAACCCACTGGGAAAGGTCCGAAAGCTTATCCTGGAGCTTGGCGAGGATGGTACCCTGAGGAGTGGAGGTTCCGTGTCTGAAGTACTCAGCGTTGCGGCGGGCCGCGGCCTTGAGCTCGTTGATGCTGGAGCCCTGGTAGACGGGAATACCATACGAGTCAAGGTATGCCTTGAGATCGGAGTGAGACCAAGAGTCGAAGGCAGAGTCCTTGGCGACGTCGGTAGCCTGAGCCATGTAAGAGGTAGCGGAAGCCAGCTGGTCACCGCCAGCCTTAGAGGCCTGGGCATAAGTGTCCTGAGCTTGCTTGACGAGCTCCTCACGGGTAATGTCGGCCTGGTGGGCAGCTTTCGAGTTCATGGAAGCGAGATACTTCTTCAGGTGCTTAGTGTCCCAGGTGTCGAAAGTCCAGGCACTCCAGCCAGTAGCAGCCTTGTGGGCGTTCAGACGGACCTGTGCCAGAAGCTCATCGCGCTTGCCGTTCTGAGGCACGGGAACACCGCGGGCGTCAAGGTATGCCTTGAGACGAGAATCAGACCAAGACTCAATAAGAGAGTCGAAGGCCTCCTGGCCCTTGTACTGAGCAGCGTCAGTGGCGCGGGCGTACTCGTTGCCGGCCTTGGTGGTGGCGGCGCCGATAAATTCACTAGCAGTGGAGGAGAGGCTTGCAGAAGCGGTAGCAGCAGCAGTCGAAGCCTGGCTGACCAGAGAGGCACGGTGCTTCCTCGCCAGAGCTACAAGCTCGTTGCGCTTGGAGCCCTGAGGGACCTTCACACCGTGCTCATCAAGGAACTTCTTCAAGTCGGAGTCGGACCAAGCGCTGAACAAAGCTTCACTCAAAGTAGCCTGGGCCTTATCAGCGGAAGCAGAGGCGGAAGCAGCAATGGCCTTAGCCTGCAGTCCAGCTAGTCGGGCGTTACGGCGAACGGTGGCGATGAGCTTGTCGCGAGTGGAGGGCTGAGGAACAGGCCAGCCACGCTCATCGAGCCACTCCTTCAAATCAGACTCAGACCACTGAGCATACACCCAGTTACCAGGGTAAGAAACGGCCTCGCCAAGCTTCTGGGCAATGGTTTCGTAGTTCTCGCGGACAGCCTTGAGAAGAGTGTCACGCTTGCGTGGCTGAGGAGCGGGAATGCCATGACGATCAAGGAAGGCCTTGAGCTGGGAGTCCGACCATCTAGACGGTTGTTAGTATCAAGGCCGGGGGAGTATTGTCGATATAGACGTACGTGTCAAAGAGCCATTCCTTAGCATTGTGCCAGTGGTCCGGAGATTGTTCCACAGCATGTCCCAGAGGCTTCTGAACCTTAGCATCCCAGTTTGTCTTCACCAAGCTCTCAAGATCTTTACGATCGGCAGGCGAGGGGTAAGGAATGTCTGAAAGTATCGTCAGCACTGACCTCACAGAACGCAGATAGTGTCAACGTACCATGGTCAGCAAGCCATCTTTCCAACTCAGTTTCGTGCCATTTGTTGTATACTGTCGAGATGCATTAGCGAGCGAGGTAAAATTCAATGTGTTCGACTTGAAACATACCAGCCTTGCTGAACCAGCTGGATGCACCGACAGCCTCAGCTGTTGCCAGTACAAAGACTAGGCAGAAAGCCAAATGAAGCTTCATTATGGCTCAGTCGTGATTAAGGTCGAAATGATAGCAAGCCGTATCAGTCTTATCGGGAGGAGATTGAAGATTAGCTTATCGCTGCCTCTAACTTCTTGCAGCTTTGCTGAACCACTTACTGTCGTTGATGATAGCGGTTGTTGATGGGAGAGAATTGAAAGAGTCAAGGACCAGGGATGAGGATAAATTTATTGTTGTGAGAGAAAGAATGCGCTGTGGATAGAATCAGGGAGGCGGCGCTGAGATGATCACCGAGTGACGTAGTGATGTGGTTGCTGGAGCTGTCCATCAGTCGACGGCTGGCGTCATCGATGAATGGGTGGCCCATGGTCGGTCGGCAGAGGCGTCTGGGCGCTGTCGGCTCGTAGTGCTTTCTTTGTCGTACCGGGTCAGCAATGACCTGTGAATGATATAGTTACTTTTTTTTTTATGGTTTCCCCTTTGATCCTCGATGTGTATCGTGTTCTTCATGGAGTCGTGGACCAGCGTACTGCAAGGCACATGATCTTCCACTAGCTACTTAAGGGTAGCCAAACAGACCTTACCGTTTTTGGATAGAATGCGGAGATGGACGATAAGGAAAGCATTGAAGCATTGAAGCATTCAAGATTATCATCTCAGTCACTCATCCCTTCGAGTACTCGATCAGTGACAAGTCATCCTTCATCCCCTCGTTTGTCCACCCTGTTTACTACGTGTGTGCGCTGGTTCGACACATGCTGTTTTAGAGTCCAATAATTCTCCTGTCTCTTGCCGCCCCCCCCGATCTGCACTCCCTGCCCCTATGCACCGGGCCCATAGACCGCCCATCGCTCTGTAACTCCCTTCATCCCGTCCAGCATCTTGCATTTCAACAGCCTCTTCCTCTTACACAGACGATCCTAGAATCGGCTTTGTTCACCAAGATGGATTCTCTCAGTCTACAATGCGGGCAACTGGATTCGCCCGACTATAAGAATTTCATCCTCTCCATGTACGTTCTTCCCCTCATACCTACCAACACAAGCATAGCGAGAACAGCAACAAAATCAACGATTCTAACCCAAAATCATCCAGTCTAATCGTCTTCGGCATTCTCCTCTCCTACCTCCCCCAGCACATCCGCATCATCTCGTTGAAATCCTCGTTCGGAATCTCCCCCTACTTCGTCCTCCTCGGCACGACCTCTGGCTCGTCCGCCCTCGCCAATGTCGTCTCCCAACAACAGAGTCTCCACGACATGTCGTGCTGCAAGCAAATCAGCGGACTAGGCTGCTTCTCTGCCCTCCTAGGGATCCTCCAAGTCGGCACTCAATGTTTCTGCTTCTTCCTAATGTACGCATGCCCCTCCAAATTCGGCTAACGCATGGGTACTCAAACTGACCCACGACACCCCAAACCAAAACCAGCCTCTTCCTCTTCGTCCTCTTCTTCCCCCGCCACCAGCACTACGGCATCGACCACCGCCGGACCACCCCAACCTACCGCACCGCCCTCACGGTCGCAGGCATCTGCATCGTCCACGCCCTCGTCATGCTTATCACCACCCTGGCCGTCGGCCTCCGCCGGCCCGAGGCCCTCCAGTCCTGGTCCAACTTCTGCGGCGTGCTCGCCGCCCTCCTCGCCTCGGTCCAGTACTTCCCGCAGATCTACACGACGGTGCGCCTCCGCTGCGTCGGCAGCCTCAGCATCCCGATGATGTGCATCCAGACGCCCGGCAGTCTCGTGTGGGCGGGGAGCCTGGCGGCGCGGCTGGGGCGGGCCGGATGGAGTACCTGGGGGGTGCTGATCGTCACGGCGTGTCTGCAGGGGACGCTGCTGGCTCTAGGCGTGTGGTTCGAGTATTTGGGTCCCGACAAGGGCCATGGCCACGACGATGAGGGTGACGCCTCGAATAAGAATCCCGCTAATGGTGGAACGGGACCGGCCCGTGGTGTGGAAGCAGAAGACGGAGAAGAAGGCCAGGGCCGGGATCACCCGTCCGAGGAGACGCCGCTTCTTGGGGGATGAAAGCTTTCATCCTCTCTCTCTGAGGGGCAGGAGGTCTTATTCCGGCTATTATCCAAGGATCTTTGGCATATATAGTGTATGTAGATCTCACAAGGTTTAATTGGCTGTAAATCATTCTGGTCTGTTGAAGTGTAAGGTATCCAATGGGTTGCCTGCATTGCTTGATAGGCTTTCGTTCTTGTACCCTCATCCCCTTCATTGGCTTGGCTGTATACGCCGAGTAATTCAGTCTCTGCGCATGCTCGTACTTTAGACGCAGGAGCATGCGCATTGCGCGCCGCTGCTGCGGCGGTACTCAGTAAGAGGAGTCGGGAGATTCTCTCCTAACCCCAGACCACCTTCTCGAAGCCCAATCACCCATTTACACATAAGGCATCGAGGTACACAAACAGAGCAGGAATGCAAAGGCCATCACCACACCACCAAGAAAGTACCAGATTTGCCTCCATCCGAAACACAACTACAACCACAGTATCACCGCACGCACATAAACCAACTAAGAGGTAATTCACGAGATTTGAAGAGCTTCTCCCCGAAGAGACGCACAGCGAAAAGGAGGCATGGCATGTTCCAAATTCACCAAAAGCATCCAATCCCAAGATCCGTGGGCTCTGCCTCCGCCCCTCACTCTGTTCGAACTCGAAACCTGAAATTTGAAAATGGATTCATTATCTTCGTTTCACACGGGATTATCTGCGGACTATGACCAGGTCTTTCCCCTGTTCTAGAGATAGAGAATAGATGACCGTTCCCCAAAGCCGCAGGCCTGATCCCTCCCCCTCCGACGTTTCCTTTCCACCGCGCGACGACGGCGCTTTATACCTAAAAAAAAAAACAATAATGGAACCATTTATGCGTTGTAGATCAGACGGAAGATGTCGTTCTGGACGTAGTAGCTGCCGTTTTCGGGAATGAGGTTGAAGCTCTGGGTGTAGTTCATGGGGTTTTGCTCCTCGTCGACCTGTGCAGTTGAGATTGGTCAGTTTTTTTTGTAGGTCTGGCGGGGTCCGTGGAAGCTGAATGGATTGAGTCAGATGATAAAGGGAGGGGGAGTCATACCAAGAGAGCACCGGTGACCATGACCAGGATGCTACCATCCTGGCTGGAGGGCTGGGCGTCGAGGGTGTTTACCTTGTGGACAACCTTCTGGAAGGGGAGGCTCTGCAGGACGAGACAAATTCACATAGCAATACGTTAGTCAAACGGGGTTTCTATCTTCTACAGGGAGTTTCCCAAGGGCCGGAAGAACTCACGGTCAGCTTCTCAACGATGCTGGAAACACCCTGGATCGAGCTGGTCTCGAAGGTGAGCATGGAGTGGTCGCGCTATGTCACAAAAGATCCATTGCGTTAGTCGGTCGTCTTGCGTCTAAGCTGGGAGATGCGCAGGACATACGTAGAGTCCGGCCAGGGAGGAGCGGTCGGCGTCGAAGGTCTGGTAGTAGAACTGGACAAATTGCTCTGTTGGGCCGCGGTTAGACCGAAAGTTCATCGGTGGTGTCGAGGAGCGACAGAGCTGGGCTCTGCGAGGATAGATCGAAGCATCATTATCACATACGGGCAATATCACTGAAGGCGGCTGGAGATTGGTTCGCATCACATCAGTCTCTTTTCTGGTAGCTCGAGGGGCAGATTAAAAGCCGGGTATGGAGGGGTTTCTCCCGACAGAGCCTCATGGAGGGGCAGCAAAACATTGGGCGGGGGATGAGTAATATAGAAAACATGTTCAATAGCTAAAAAGGAGTAATTCACTTACACATTTTGACGGTTGGGAGTCTGCAAAGACAACGAAAACGGATAGAAAACAGAGAGCTGGCTGAGGGGGCAATAGGACAACGGGATAGAAACGAGGGGAAGAGACGAGGTTGATATCAACACCGAAAGTCTTTCCGTCGCGAGGGGGTTGTGGGGCAAGCCGACTTTACCCATTCAGGAGATTGCTGCCTTAACCTTTTGTCAGGCATTGATCCAGGCAGTTCAAATGGTGCGTGCTACTCAATACATTGTTCGATCGATCGCTCTGTACAATTTTCATGTCCATGTCCATGTTCATGTCATACATCCCGTGCTCTGCTTTCCTGAAGCATTGTTCACTGAGGGTAATCCCGCTTGCTTGTTGAATGCTATAATCACTCCGAGTCCGAGTCTGCAAACATATCCTCTGCTTTAGGCCGTGGTTTGCGCACCGGAGGCTGAGGTTGCGGTTGGGCTGCCGCTTCAGCTACTTTCTCCGGCGGTGCTTTGTTCAGCTCGCTCTCATCTTCGCGAGGGTCTTCCTCCAATGGCTCACCATCCGATAACTCCAGGTCACTGTCCTCCATTGGCTCGCCATCAATGTCGCTCATTGACACTTCGTCCAGATTCTCCGCCGTCGCATACTCATGTTTGACCTGGTCGACATCCATGCGATCCGGTTCGGCTGCCGCAGCGCGACTGGGATTGAACTTTCCAGAAGCTGCATCCTCGTCAACTGCCTTCCAGCGGTTTTTGTTCTTGGAGAACGCGCTCGCCACTCGTTCGGCTTCGGCCTTTTCTCTCTCTTCTCGCAGCTCCTCTTCTGTGAGGGGGGGCTTCTCGAAGATCTGGACGAATTGCTCCTGGCTCGACTGCGGAAACACGCACCAACCTTCCCATAAGTTGAGAAGAGAGCCAACGCTGCGCTTCCATTTTTCGGCTTTTAATCGACCCCAGCCGAAGTCTTTCTCTAATCTACCAAGATGCTCGAATGCTTTCTGCGTCTTCAGTGCTGACTCGAAAAGCTGTCTGTATCGCCAGGCATGGCGCACACCACTCGTGGCAGACGACGAGAGGATGTCTGACACGAGATACAGACCCACCAACTTAGCAGAGGACGTGTCAAGAGTTTTCGTCGAGGCCGTCCGCCCATCTTCGGCTGTGTTGTCATTGGCTGATTCTCCAAATTGCTCCTTGCGAGCAAGTCCTTGTTCAGCTTCACGGTCCGGATTGGCCCCCGTAAAGGCATAGGGTTTGATGATATTGGCAACAATCATCTCCACAACCTCCTCAGCCCCTGCCCCAGCATGTTCAATGGCAAAAGCAGTAACACGGGCAACATCTCCTTTTCGTAGCTTGGCATGCGTGGTTGGCAGCCGTGCGAGGAGGTGGGTCAATTTGGCCTTTTGAAGAGGGTTCATGTATCCCAGCCCCTCGTTACCAGCGCCCGGTCCTTCCGCTGGCGGTGCTCCCCCGGCCACACGTCTCTCATCTTCATAGTCCGACATCTCCTCATCAGACGAGTCGTAATCGTCGTCCGTGACGAACTCGTCCATGTTGGTAGTGTACTCAAATTTAATATGAGCCTCGGGTGGAACCCAGTGTGCGCCACCCTCAAAGATAAGTGACGGGTTTTGAGGTTGGAACCGACCCCGTCGACCACCGGTAGGTCGACTGTTGGTCAAGACCTCCCATAGCTTCCACCGATAGTAGACACCACCAGCGCTCCGGGCATTCCAGATCCAGGCCCATTTCTCATCCCTCTGGACCTCCGGCCTACTCATAAGCAAGGCCTCAAACTCCGGACCATAGCTCAGTAAATTCTCCAGCGTCTTATGTATCAGTCGCAGCTGCTTGAGGTCTGAGGGTGCTTTCACCTCAACCTGTGTCGTCGGGCCACTGCGCCCGAATGCAGGATTATACGACGTTGGCGGTGCAAAGCCACCGCGGTGCATGCCAAGAGGCGGAGCTCGGTTCAAGCGTCCGGGAATATCGGGCTGGGTAGACCTGGCCCCGAATGGAAGGGGGCTTGTCGAGGACTGACTGACAGTCACCGGCATTGTGGAACTAATAGCCGCAGAGGACAGATGCCTCGAGATCGACAGATAGTAACCCCAGCCCAGGTACTTGTTCTGGAGAGCGCTGACAGTGCTATCGATATCCGATGCTGCAGATTCGTTTGCAAGGGTCACGATGGCGGCGATCGACTTGCGATCGGTCGGGGCCTGTTGGACGGTCGAATGCAGTATCCTGACATTATCCACCGTCAAAAGCGAGGGGATTATCGACTTGATAACCGACGGGGACGTCCCAGGAGGCAACGAGGCCAAATACAGCGTTGGTTTGGCCGCCGCCCTCTCCGCCTCCTTCGCATCGGCAGTCGCCTCGTCCTCATCGTCCGACACGCGGAACGCGGACGCGGCAGCCGACGGGCCCGGGCCGGTATTATCAAAGCCCAGGATCCCCTGCGCGGTGTCTCGGTTCCGCTGCGCTGGCGGGAAGCCTTCGTGGTTGCGCTTTCGCGACAGCGACGGCGGAGGGGGTCCCAGCGTGCCAGGCCCGCTCAAGCGCGGACCGGAGCCCGTGAAGTGCCGTCTACCTGGGCCACCTGCAAACCCTTGATTCTTGTGTGGGAAGCGGTTCAGTCGTCCATCGGCAGAGGGTCTGTCGGGGCCGCCGTGCGAGTCGTCCTCGAATGACTTGACAAAGTCCTCGTACACAGCCGCGGTTTCGGCTTGCTCTCGGGCTCGTTTGGCTTCGGCTTCGGCTTTCTGGCGCTCGAAAAGCGACTTCTTGGGGATGGCCGATAATTTGGCGGAGAGGTCGGGAAAGGCTTTTGATTTAAAGTCGTCCGACATGGTGACGAAGCTGCGGTCGCAGCAGGGTTCGTTGTTGCGAGACCACGGAAGTTGAGACACTGAAGCGCGGAGTTACCTTACTTGCGGGTGGAAGCTGATCGGAGCGGGAGCGGGAGGCTGCTGGTTTGTTGCCTAAGGCAGGAAATACCCTTCTAGAAAAGGAAGTACGAGTAAGTTCACTCTACCTTCAGCCAAGCATTTTTCCTCACTCTATCCTGCCTATCGCAAGTTCACATCCGCTCAAGTTGCATCGAAATTTTCATTTTGATTACAAGTTGAGTACAATGGCGGCGGCTCAGGTACAATCTCTACTTCGCTTCCTATCACAGGATGCCAAAGTGCCACTTGCGTCCGCAATGGGTAAAGTCATGGAACTTCAGAAGGCCGGCCTAACAACGTATGACCTGTTTTGACATCCGGATATAAAAATAGCAATCCATCTGATAGTCGCCTAGTCCTGAACAGATCGCTAAATCAGAACTCAAGGCTCTCCAGAACATCTTTAAGGATGACAAGATGGCCAAACAAGTCATGAACGCCGCAAAGAGAGTGTGCAAAAAACGAGGCTCATCTGCTGAAGACACCACAGCTCCCGCGAAAAGAGCCAAAGGTTCTCGCACAAATGAATCCAGCACCCCCTTTGACATAGAATGTGCGCTTGCTCTTCCTGAGTCGAGTATTCCAGAAGAAGACATATCCAGCATTACCCTTATCACAAACCGAGCACCACTCGTGCTTGCATTTGCTGTGTGCGTGCTACGATATACAATGCCCGAGCAGCCGATTTCTAGCAGACTGAGTCTTGCCCAGGCTGTGGTAAGTGCTAATAGTCGATCGAAGGCCGCGAGCTTGGGTATTGAGAGTGAACCCTCCGCTGAAACAGAAGGATGGGGAGAGGGCCAGCCGGTGGTGAAAGTCCTGGGCAGAGAGGTGAAGGTGTTGAAGAGATGGGACTATGATTCGCGAGAGGGTCGGCCGCCGGATGCAAGCACAGAACCGGATGCGAACGCTCCTGTCGTGTCCGATGATGTTCTGGGGCAGGTATCCCAGGACGAATCAGACAAGGCACCGCCACTATGGGGTATTGATACGGATGCCATGCGGAAAGCTCAGAGCTCGAACCAGGATATGAAAGTGGACAAGCCTTTGCCTATCTTCACTCCTGATTCAGCGCGATCATATTTGTATAAGGCATTCACCAAAGCTTCTGATGAAGACGTACCCTCCCGCAGGACAGCCACAAAGAATGCTTCCCTGCTGGAAGCTGAAAAGAAGGAATGTCTCGCGCATCTTCTACGCGCCATCAATATTGTCTGCCAGTCCTGGGCCTCCAGTCTCGCCAGGGACGAATTGGACCGACGTGCATGGGCCTGGTACTTGCGTGTCCGGCCGGCAGTTCAGAGTGGAGCAGGAGGCTGGGGACAGAAAGGACCAGTCAGGTTATGTGATATTTTAGCTCTGAAGAGACAGCCGTGATTGTAGATGCAGATTTCGCGATGCCCGAAAATGTGACGAGACTGGTCTTGCCAGGCTGGGATTAGGCAGTAGGCCGATTCAGCACAGCTGACGAAAGCCCCCGCCCTTGCACAGTAAGTTACATCACATAACTGAGTATGTAGTCTTGTCTGATTTGTTCGTTTGCATGATAGAATCATCGAATCTGCGTGACGTTATTGGAGAGTCCTGCCATCGCGTGAGCCCGAGCGTTCTGGACTGGCGCTGGTCAAATGTGTTATGATGACAGCCCCACCTCTCGTTTCAGGCCCTACAGAGAAAGTCTTGTCCTCGGATGGACCTATCATGTTATTCTACCACACAGATGTGTCAGGCATATCTCATTGACTGAAAATGTATCCGTTTAGTGTCGAATGTTTCTTTCCCAGCGGCAACATGACCCATGGGATTTGATAACCGTCGCGGCTTGATGAATACTTACTCCGCAGGCCAAGCATTGGCATATTCATGGGTTCTCCCATGCAGTCATCAAGGGCTGAGAGACATTGTCGATAACCGACAGAAGAAAATCCAGGCCTAGATAGACCTGTTTGCGCAAGCGGACCACCCCGGTGCCCTCCAGTGAGCCTGGGATGGTCATGGCGTTTGGGTCCCCGGACCCAGTATGATGCAAAAGCAACTGTTCGGTTCTTGATCGGCGAATCTGCGGAAGGAGAGTAATTTGGGGGAACCTTAGTGGGTAAGGTTGGCAACAATCGCGATTGTTTAGCCATGATTATGGTGACCAGTAGCAAATGTAATCCGGACCGATCTCGGTGGTGGGCTGATCTAGAATGGGCTGGGAGTTCAGCCCGAGGCAGACCATGAGGGGCAGGCAGACAGCCCTATGTCCGATCC